CGACCCACCGTAGTCGTGTCCCTATACAGCAGAGGGGTCTTCGATTCGGTGGATGGATGTGCCCTTTGGGACTGTCTAATGCGAAAAGATGTGCCCGAGAAATATGTAAATGTTATAAGAGCGCTGTACTCGTATAGTTCGTGCAGAGTGAAGGTTTATGGCAAATTTTCGCCGCACTCCAATATCTCCAGCAATATGAGACAAGGTTGCCTGCTGTCAGCTTTCCTCTTTAACTTCGCCATTGACGAAGTCATGGAGGCAGCATTCGCTTGACACGACCTACAAGGTATGGAGCGACTTCTTGACTTGGAGTATGCGGACGATATTGCCCCAATCTGTGACAGCTTACAAAGGTGCCAAACAGCACTGGCTGTCAATCACTTTAGACTATGCTTTGCTCTTTCGAAATGCAAAGTACTTCTCCAAGACTTGCACGGGCCCAACGCTGCGCCGACACTTGGGGAGGATCAATTAGAAGTCGTTCAAAAATTCTAGTACCTAGGCAGTTGTATCAGCGCCCTTAGGATCGTTGATCAAAAAGCTCGACGTACTTTTGCCAATCTCCGCCACCTGTGGCGCAGAGGCGACATCACTCTCTCCCTGAAGGATAGAGTGTATAATGCAGCCGTCCGTTCAAACCTCATAATGTTATGAAACCTGATCCATCAGTTCGACAGACGTAGAGAATTGCTAGTCACGTTCGATCAACGCTGCCTTCACAACTTAGCTCCTGTCTGGTGGGAGCACTGCGTGCGCAACCAGCGTGTCCGGCGTTGCGTATTTGCTGCAGGAAAAGCTAGTGAACCACTCTGCACCATTATATCACGCACCTGAGTCCGATAGCTGGGCCATATGTTTCGCATGCCAGCACACCGACTCCCGCGACGTGCATTGTTTGCGCGCCGTGGGTGCGGTTGGAAGAGGAGAAGAGAAGGCCAAGCGATGACTTGGCCGAGAGGATTGAAAACCCTCACTTCGAAGTTGGCGTCGGTCGGTGCATCCCGATTGCCTGGCTGGGGGCCCAAGGATGATGAACACGTTTGGTTGGACTCACTTGCTGATATGACGAAGAGCCAGCCTCACTGGCATTTGTGTTGTGAGTTTCTTTATGCATTTCCCCTCAATTATGATCTCATACGGGTGCATATGATATTTAACGTCATATTACTTGCTTTTTGCATTTTTTTGTAGTGTAATTTTTTAGTCTATTATCTTTTTGTATTTCAGCGCATTAGTTGTGTTGTGTTTCTCATCCTCGGCTAACATGTATTGATGATGATGACATCGACGACACCGACGATGCCACCTCGCATGGTTGCGAAATGTGTGCAACCATTTAACCAAGTTCGGCCAGCCAGTCAACAGCTGATATGCTGGACCTCTTCGGATGCCTTTTCGGCACTAGCGCGAATCCGTGGCATGCTAGTCCAAGGACTAAGATAAACATCCAATCCTGTCATGCCCCCTTTCCTTATGGTCAAGCTGGCATCTGCATTAACGTGACCGCCTTTTCACAATGAAAGCCTTGGGGTAAAACCTGTACGATACCAGTTCATACTCTTTCCATGGATGATGGAATGTTTTTTCAAACCACCCATTGAGTCGCCCAACAGACAACCAACGAGCGCAGTGCGTTTTGTGGGCCCTAGCCAATGCGCAAGGGTTTGGATTCCACTAACCCAGTTAGCGCAGTGATTTTCTGATGCGCGTCTGTCTTACTATGGATAGGACCTGCGGTCAGTAAGCATTCAAGGTATAGGCGACTTGGAGAGAGGTACAACCATTTGGAACAAAGTAGTCCAATGGGCCGACTGGCCTACGCCAGGCAGCATGGCATAAGCAAGAGTGGAGAAGCTTATGCAGCCACTGTGTTGTTTACTGCTGTACCGTGTTTATGAAGTTGACATATGTGGCCTTGTAGGACGAGCTTCCTCTGTGTCATCGGATGTGTATCCATGCGTTCTCACGTTGTCCGGCTGGGCCTGGGAAACAAACGCTCAGGCTTAATGCTCGAGGATTCGATGTGGCTCTGGAAGCGTACGACGATGTCAATCAGTATAACCATGCTTGCGTAACCGCTGTATCTGGCACAAACAGATTTACTTGGTGTATCAGCAAAGTTTCAGGATTGGTGTCACAAGGTATTTATTTCAACTTCACACGAAGTTTTTTTCTTTAAAGTAATCCCTCTGGAGTTTAACGCACCTCCACATCCTTCTCTGCCACACTCGCATGCACTCCTAGGAGGATACTTCCGGGGTCCTTCTCAAAGCGGCCCTCCTGATGGTCCTTTGGCGCTTATAAAAGAGGAAAAGTCTTACAAATGCTGCAGCATCCCCTTTATCCTCGAGGAGAAAAAATCACGAAATCAGGCTTACTACTATCGCAATAAAAATTACCTTGACCACAATTTACTGTTCCATAGGTGCTCAAACGACACCATTTTTACAAGCATCCTATCATGGTAGTCTTCCTTGACTTGAAAGTTCATCTCGACCCGGTTGATCACACCTGTTGGGGACGATACCTCATGCTCTGAAGGGCGTGCGTGATAAGTTTCTCTCTAATTCCATACCATGAATCCCGAGGTCCAGTGAAGTTCCACGGGAAACTGTCCCACGAGTTCACCTCAACAAGTGGTGTGTATCAGGGCCGCTTTAGTTTCCAGTTTCTTTCCAACCTTGTGACCAACCTGATCACAAGTGGCTCTCGCTCTCTTGCTTCCTTCTTCTACTGCTGGGGTCGAAGTTCTTTTGAACAATAGACTGTCAAACTCAGCTTGTTCGGACGACAGGCCTCTCTCTTTGAATCGAACTCGGCTGCTATGCTGGTGTGCTGAATAGGCTTACTCGTAACGCTTTAGTATGGACTTTGCATCCTCAAGTTGCGAAGTACTCTTACCCCAGACTGGACCGTCTCACTACTCGTTTTCACAATTATGGAAGAACCGCTCGCGTCTGCGGGTCACATCACCTGGATAATGCTTGTTCGAGCAATAGCCACTTATGGAGACGATGGAATACATAAGACCATTGATTATGGGCAAGACGACCAGAGTTAGTATATGGATCGGAACTAGAGCGACTGAGCGCTTAGGACATTACTAGGAACCAGCCCGCGATCGACAACCGGTGCTTGTCAGATACTGAAATGACATCAATGGTACGTCCCTATGCAGTACCGACACGGCTGCCGCGCAACTAACGCCAGTCGCACGTGGACTAAGGATACTACGAAGATCACCCGGTCCGTACGCAGGCTGGAACCCGCGTCCTCGGATTACAAGGCAGGCTTGTGATCCTTAAGGCTACGGGTCGGCTCATGTCTGAAGAGAGTTCGTCGTTTTGTGTGTTTGGTAGCATGCCCTCCGGTATCTCATTATGGGGTGCCCATTGAACTCAAATCGTCTCCGCTAGTTCGGTCATGTGCGCTCCGCTTGTCTTCTAGGCGGTGTATGTGTTGATTGCCTATATTGGGACCCCGTGGCGGCAAATCAATAGCACAATGAAATACCGTGAAGGGACTCACCGAGAAGCTGAATCAGGTTAGTGTCTATCGTTTTCTTGAACGAGGTCCTCAAGATCATCGATCACATCAGCGGTTTTGCACATCGTACCACGGATATGGTGCGGTCACGATGCCAATGACGTTGCTGCATTGGTTCCTTGGTTTCTAACTCTTAACTGCATCACCTGGCAATTTCATTGCACCCCCATCTTCTTCTCGCTATTATTATTATTATTACCATTATTTTTTTAGCGTGGGTCATGATAACTGGATCCACTACATCTCGCCTTGCCCGAGGGTCATAGTTGTTGCCAAACTGAGCTGAGCCGGGCACTGGATGGCTGGCTGATTACGATAGTAGTTAGCTCAGAGATCGTGGTTATCACGCGGTGTGTTTGACTCGTGCGATGAGATAGGCCAGTAATCCTCGGCTTATATGTCAAATCAGGGTTAGGGGTATACAAGGCACCAGACTGGGCAAACGCATATTATCTGATGAATCTATTTTTGGCGTCTAAACACCGAAGTGGCTTCTGCGTTCATGTCTCCGGATGCCGAATATGGTCAGTACCGGCCCGAAGAACCCATTTCTGTCACTCGCGTCGTTGGTGGACAGTGTCCACTCGGTGGTTTTACCAAGGAAACGTTTGTATGTTCTTTGGGAACACCGGAACAGGTTGTGGTGAAGGTCACTGTGAATTGACTATCATGATAAAGTACCTTGGCCACGCGTGCCCATCCGGTTATGGCGTGCAGTGGTGTCGCTATCCGTTATAGCACTCATCTGTCTTTGGCACGTTACTATGACTGAATCCTGCGACTTGAGTATGGTGGAATGAATGGATGAATAGGCCCGCTGTACGCAAGAACAGCCTACGATGGCTCCAACTGTGTGATTTGTGAGGTCAGTTGGAAAGCAGGGAGTCCGTTTGTCGAACAACCCCGCATATGCCACCACGAAGTCGAACGACGACGACTGGGAGCCGGAACGCATAATAACCTGGGTTTTGTGGCCTGTGGAGTGGGTTGTTGATGTCAATAGCAAATGTGTGTGTTAGGCCCACGAGAGCTCTCACCTCGGTGGATGGAATGACTTTGGGCGCAAAGGGGAAGCAGCGGCGATCACGTGGCATGCTACCTTTGATGAGTGGCGACATTTGTCACAAGTGCAGTTAAGTCTAAGCAGTGGCGAATATCGATGCAATTGACGGAATAGGGTCACGTCTTTTGCATGCACAAGCTTACTCTACACACTTCTTTGGTTGCATTGGTATGAGATTCGACTTGCTCAGCCCCACAATCCATCTCAACCGCGTTATCGGAGACTGAAAATGTTCGTTTAGCGCTCTCCTGCATGTGTGGTAACTGTCCGGCTGAGTCTGGTAGCGATGAATCCTCGATAAACATGACCTGTTTGCACATACACTGCCTCTTCCACTCAACCGAGTAAACTGATCTGCTTTCTGTCATTGTCCCCTCTTTGTCTGCCACAGGCTATCCACGCCATCAACATATCTCACGATTTGGCCCACGCACACATGGATGTCAAATTTCGTTCGCTTGTCTGCTATGGCCTCAAGTGAGTCAGCTTCTCGTTTAATTCTTCGCATTCTATTTGAGAACATTCACACTGTGTCACCTCGGTTATCAAACGTTTCATTTCTAGTATAACCTCGACTGTTTCAATGCTAGCACTCTGAACCTGACACGAGTAATGCTTAGTGAAACGTTGCAAAATCGTCTACAAAACAGTTGTAACCTCGGTTTTCATGACGTGGAGATGAGAATGTGTTTGTTTCATTTGGATCTATCCACGTAGGCTAGAGAACCAGTCCCGCTGTTGAGGTTTATTTTGAAGTACACGTTGTGTGGATGGATTTCGACGCGCAATCTCAATGTTGTCCGCGATTCTGATTGAAGTGAACCTTGGTCTTTCGATCACGAGGACCGTAGATGATGCAAATAGAAATTGGGTGTTGCCGGCCCGAAAACACTGCACTACTATGACGCGTTTTGATATTATTACATCTCATACGATAGAGTTAGCAGGCATCGAACCCTGGACCATTGGGATGTTAGTTGCGACCGCTTCCGCTAAGCCACCGGGTCACTACAGGCAACGCTTAGCACAACGGTGTAATGAACGATGTTGAGGGTCATTTTGAAGTACACGTTGTGTGGATGGATTGCGACCCGTAATCACAATGTTGACCGCGATTCCCGTTGAAGTGAATCTTGGTCTTTCGATCACGAGGACCACTTTTGGTTGAGGGGACCAGGCCGTGCCACATTCCTGAGGTCATGTGACGCAATGGCAGCACTTTTATTGACCATTGAAGTCTAGCTCTGTGCAATTTCACGCACGTTGCGTTTTGTGTGGGTGTGTATGTTGTTATGAGCATGCAAATGTCCACCACATGTCTGTTGTACTGCTGCTGTGTCTTTTAGCCAGCAATATTTGTGCGTCACTAGGGAACACGGATCTGTGCCATCCGGAACAGTGTGAATTGCTGTTCGTGGCAAGATTCCTTCTTCAACGTTTCAGTCTCCTTCCAACGCACAATGATTCAACTCGAACCACAGACGATGGTTTGCTGGAGCTGCTGACCGCTGTGCTACCAATCCGGTGATCGTCATCATCCGCAGTACATCACCATTGAACTGATTATCCGCTGCCATACAACCACGGTGACCTAAGAGAAGAATAATAAGAGGGACAGAAGCGTAACCTAGCGCAAATCCTAAATGCCCTAAGCAATCATTCAAGGTCAGGTCACCTTCATCTTTCCAACAGCATACGGTCAAAACAGCTGGTTGCCATGCAAAGGCGGTATTGACGAGACAGCTTCCTTGCGGCTTTCACTACTCCGGCGATCTGGCCCATTATTACCACTATTATACTGTACCACACGACAGTGGCGGAGAGGATGTGCCATTTAGTTACCTGTGGGAGAGATCTTGTTTACGTCATTTTGCCTCTAGCTCACCTGAAATCATTTCTTACGTGATATGCTTCGATCCTTTCTCTTACTTGCTTGTTCCATGTTTTTCCCATAAGTTAGTTAATTTTCGAATCAGTACTATGCAAAACCGAACCACCGCTTTTTATTTATTTATTTAATTATAAACGATTAGTTATCACTCGTGAATGTTTTACTTGCTTGTAAACAGAATGCGCCTCTACCCGCATGATCATCTGGTGCATCGGGAAATGTTTTGTTGTTGAGTTCGAACTGTTTAAAATTGTGCCACTCTCGTCCGATTTTGATACCATAATTTTCTGAATTGATGGTAAATATCTATGCATCTTCTTTGGAACAGTTTCCATGCCTTTTACTTGCATCGTATTACAACGTCACACTGGATCTACTGTAGTCCTGGCTAATTATATATTTTTATTGACACGGTGACTTGTCGGCCGGGATTCTGTCCGGTTACCTCATGACTATCAGCTAAACGATCTGGTCGCCTAGTCCATCTGCTTCCGTGGCCATCGCGCGCTCATGATATCGAACTGTGCGAAATTTTTCGCAGCGTTCCATCGGGAATTAGATACCCTGAGGCATCAGTGATCCACCTCCCCCTTTCAAACTCCTACATTGATTTGACTGTGTGCTTTTTTGCCTTCCATCTTGAGGCTGCGGCTTTGCTGCTTCCCTCTGTTGTTCTCACGGTTTTCACTGCGTCCCATTTCATTTATGTCTACGTTACAGTGAGCAGCTGCTTCACATGTGGCTGGAGACGCTGTGTTCCTCTGTACAGGTGGTGGAGAAGTGGTACCATCCCTGGTCGTACATGCGCAGTCCGGGCTGGGTACAAATCAAGTGTGAACTCCGGTGAGCGTGTCGCCTGTCTCATACTGTGTTTTTACCACATTTCTCATGCAACCTTAGCTCTGGTAACCCTTCGTCGCTTTGACTTTACCATTATCTCGTAATCCTCGCGATAAGCTCACTGACTAAACAACCACGTTGACTCGGATTGGCCTTGAACAGACGTGGGCCAGGTTCACCATCTCAGTGTCTGTTTGAGTGTTACACAGCTCGCAGGAACGTTGGGTGCTTTATTTATTTTTCAAGCCACAATACATTCATCAAATTTCAGGCTCACACATCCTACTAAATCCAGTTTACTTATAGTGCAAATGCTAACTTGTTGTTGTTGCCAGAGAGATACTGCGAGCGCTGAATCGAGACAGGTCTGCAACATTTCCTAGTCGAGTCAATCCGGAGCGCGACTAATAGGCGCATCCAAGTTGATTCACTGTGTCCAGCGGATGGTATATTGTACTCTCTGATATGGTAGCGAATGAGCATACACCCTGAATACTGTAGACTTGCGTTCAGTGCACTGTGAAATATGACCTACTCAAGACTCTTTACCGCTATCCGTTTTCGTTCGCGCGCTTGACAACAGTTGCCAACGTGTTTTCACGAATGCGCGTGTTCGTTGGAAAATAGTACAGTGATCTACCTCAGTTCATCATGTTAGTGATGCAACTGAGACATCAAATTGTGGCATTAGTGCGTAAAGTAACGAAGTACTCCCTTCGCTTTTAATCCCAGATTTAGTGGCTCTTGCTGGCCGCATTTTTAGGCACAACGTACTCCATCGCCAATCATGATTTCTATCATTGATCATCTTTAGCTTAGCACCGTATGACCACTGGAAACTTTCCTTCCACCACTTGCGGTGTTGGTAAATGAGCCGCACACGGACGTAGCAGAATGATTTTGACATAATTTAGAACTATCTATCAATACTTCACCAACAGATAGCCACCACCCATCTGGAAAAACACTGGACAGTTCATAGTCGTCGTCTGCACGGCAATCATGAGCATGACAATGGAGAATAGCACGGGAGACCACCATCATTAAATTAGTCATGCAGCCGTGACCCCCTGCCAGGTAAGAGAATAAACACAGGCTTAACATCCCGTAGGACTTGAGAAACTGCGCCCTTTAGGTGGGCCACAGTGAGGTGAAACAGTTGGTCAGAGGCCTGACTTAATCCAATCGCCAGGAATCTTTTCAGAAAACGAATCATGCTCCTGAAGGCGTATACCTAACGCATGTGAGTCGAGTGACCTGCTCCGGCGTAACTAGACGACGCAAGATTATGACCAGATGACCTGTCAATTTGCTGACAAACTTACCTGCAAACCCCAGCTGGTGCTACTTCGTCCTCTGCGCATCAGTAGCATGCGGTCCAGTGGAGAGTAAGCACCACAATATTACAGCTACTGACTCGGTCATGGAGTTCCTTGCTGTCGCCCGTGACTCTTAAGTATAGAGTCGCCGATTCTGGTCCCTACACGAGGCAACTAGGATGCGCACTGCTAACGGGTACCGAGAGGTTATAACCGCCACCCGGTGCTCTTTCGGTATCGTTATAACCCTCTGATATAGCTTAGTTTTGATGAGTGCAACTTGTGTTAGTCTGGTGAGAAGCTCAGATGATTATTATTAATACTCACTGGTAGTTCGTCGATAACAGAACCTCTGATACCCCGCTGGGTGATTTATTTTTGCTCGGTCGTACACATTGGTGGGATATTTTACACCCACTTTTTGATCGCCTATTGCGGTTTGCATCGTCTGCCGATACTGCACTTTGTTAACCAAAGCGTCGTTGTCAGCCAGACAACGCAATGGCAGAACAACGCGTAAAGAAATCGCTCGATAAATATGGCCGGGTAAGGTCTGTTAAATAAACCACTTGAATGTCTTGCTGTAGTACTTATGGAAGCCGTAAATCCATCTGCACTCTAGCGTTCAGTCGCTTGCTCTTAGCTGCATCCAAAGAGGTCAACGCGTTCTGTTAATTGTTTTCCCACCAACTTTATCGCAGGTTCTCACCGCCTTCATTTTCCACATCGACTAAACCAGATTGCTGACGAAGTGCTTCGGGATTCGGCCGATGGCGCACAGGTCACCGTTTCGGGTCTGTGTGGGGGTGGGGCGACTTCACGGTGTGTTCACGGCCAGCGTGCAACTGCTAGTTAAGGTGACAGCGAAGCGTCGGTATGAGATTCCGGTACATGGCGAATCCCCTCTCGCCCCCTCCTCATCATCAACAGCAGTAGTACATCAGTCATTTGAATTGAGGCTTTGTTGCCGTATACTCACCATGACTTAGTGAAAGCGAAATAATAGGAGGGAGAGAATAGGGACCTGGCCTAAGAACTTAATGCCATATGCAAACATTCATAGTCAAGATATCTGCATCTTGTTACCAATATACCATCACAAAGAGCTGCAAAGTTAAGCCGACATCGGCGAGACAGCTTCTTGAGACTTTCACTGGTCCGTGTCAGTCATTACCACGCAGATAAATCAGCACTCAACACACTTTAAACAGGCAATCCGACTGAGATCGACGATAGCAGACGCGCCACTGGTGCCGACTGCACAGTCACAAACAGCTCGTTATCAGGCGAGGCCAAGGCAGCATCCTTGCGCTCTTCACTACTCTACGTCATAATCAGTCTTACTCCATCTACTCCATGCCTCAGCTTCATACAAACACTTGAATAGCCAATTCAGATGGGAGACCCTAACGATCTCGCCACGTTCTGTACCATTTGGGTCAAGGCACAAAGCGAATCGCCTATGGGCCGGCCAGCCAGCCTGTATCAGTGGACAGCCAAGCAGCGTGTCAATGGTCATCTCCATTGCTCGTCACGCTGTCTCGGCAAAGTGCTTAGAGCTGAAACCGAGCTTGGGATCATTTTAAGGGACCAAGTAACGACAACACGGTGCCCACTGAGGCCCTATGCCAAGTGTACTGTTGTTGCCCTGGGTTTATATGTGTATTTAAAATAAGATCCTGTATGTACAGGATCTTTAAAACCAAGATAAACCATGTCATACATTCGCCACTGCAAAAACATTTCATCGCTACTCCGATCTTCTGTGCCAGTGTTTGGCTACCTCAAACGGCTGTACCTGCTCTGAGCTGGGCTATTACATGATCGCCCAGATCAATGCTGAAGCAGGGCCTCGAACCTGGGAGGTAGAGGCTGAAATTCACAACTTTCGTAACCTTAACAAAATTTCTGGTGGATATCATGATGCCACGTTTTACTCCATCTATATTGCTCACACCACACTATTTTGCGTACATTTTCGGGCATCTTTCTTCAGTTTATTCAATCATGCTTTTAGTCACTGAGTTATACACGTGTACTTTTTCGAAGTGTGAGGTGTTCCTGAAATAAGAAAAAATCTGTATAGCCTTTTCTTATAATCTGACGGCGCGAGTTCGAGTCTGCGTAGGGGCAGGATGACCCTCGAAGTTTTATCCTTAGCCCACCTTCGACCGGTAGTGGTTGCGCGGCAACGAAGCGTCGATACTACCTACCGGCGTACTGCTGATGATGCCTTTTTTTCTTTTCTTACACAAATGATCATGCTTTTGCATGAGTGTATGCTGAGGATGACCTTCAGCTTTTTGGTCCTTTTTCGTCCGTACTGGCACTATTCATCAGGTGATTTGTCGGATGAGAATATGAATACTACTAATTCCAGATCAACGAAAGTATCGAGTTCAGTGTAGGATGATATATGCCTTGATTGTGGTTGGCAAACTGTTCCATAAGGCAGCGTATCTGAGGGAGAACTCGTTAAAGTGTATGGTTGTTCTAGTCCTTGGTACTAGTAACGTGTATATTATTTTTTTTATTTTTAAGTCAAACATGTGTATTTTGCCTCACTCTAAATTAGGCAAGTGGGGCTACGTCTTCGAATGTAACAAATTGTGTGATTCACTCTCTCTCTCTCTCTCTCTCTCCGGAACCAGTCCTACAGCCTCTGACTTGTCTCCTTTGGCGAAAATGCATCTGTCTGAACGACGCCCTATATAAGTCACTAGTGAGATCGATGTCCGAAGAGTTCGGAAAGCTGAAACTGTCTGGCTTGGCTGATTACACGCTTGGGACCTAGATTCACCGCACCTTGGTGCTCGGAGCACAGCGATTTAACTGTGTTGCACTGAACTTAAACCTGATCAGTTTCACAAACCAATATGTGCGTTGCAACAGACGAGGCTGGTGTTGTTTTTCAGTCCCGCAATTTTTCAAGGACAAGGATGTTCATATCACCGAGACCGTGTTTGTAAACAGCGAACCAGCGTCTGGGTCATCGGCTGCGCGATATGGGTGGCCTCGCTGTAGTGCTGAACCTGAATCCTTTCCTGAACATGGCCAATGGGAAATACTGTGTCGGTGCTCAGGATGTAAGGTGCGAACCCGGTTATTTATTATGATAGCTTTGACCATCAACCGTTCCACACATCTTCGAACTCTCTCTTGAGTGTTGCGTAGCGCCCGTTGCTTCTGTGTTCCTAGTACACATATATCTACGGATCCAGAACGTTCTTGTTCCGTTGAGGCTTTAATATGGTCCGTTGTTGGCTCTTTGCCGTCCGGTTTTCTCGGTACTTCTAAGCTACTGATTTTTAGGGCAGTAGTACCTGTCTTTTATCCACCGCTGACGTTCCGCACTACACACTACAGATTATAGCTATCATCAAACACCCAATCGAAATGACTGATCGGCTCACCTATGGCCGCATCATCTCCAGCGTTCAAAGCGCTAGGGTAACACCACGTACCAATAAATCCTGTGTAACTTTCCAAGGTTTCAGTCATCAATGGAGAGTGTGGGAGCCTAGTCAACTAGGCGAAGGAAGGTTGTACACAACGCAGTGGCACATCCGGCGTCATTGTACGGATAAGCAACACGACCGCTGTGCGTTGGATGCACTAGGAGAAGCTAGTGGTTTTGCATCACTAGTAGCTGCGTAGTGATGCTCGCGTTCGGTGGGAATATCG